CCCTTCTCAGTAGGCAAATTACAGTTATAATCATTTATCAAATAATAATTAATTAGCATTACCCTTGATATGAATGACCTATTAATTAACTAGATCTTCCAATTCTAGTTATTTAATATAATTCTTCATCTTCCAGTAAACTTGCTCAACACAGTAAGGCTGAGCAGAACAAAGGGCTTTCTGTAGGTGTGTGTCCCTCTGCTGCCTTTTTGTTCAGAGCAGGCTTGTTCTATATCGAGTTACTCATCATGCATCGAAAAGTCAAAAGAGTAGCAACACTTTGTCACATTTTAGGTCAAGTTAAAGTAACAAGTACAGTAAAACGACTCGTAAAAGTACCAACATGAGTCGTACATTAGGCCCAGAAAAGACTTTTACGATAAGAGCGAAAACAAAACAATCTTTGTACACTCATTTTTGACATCATCGAGTTTTTAAAGGAATACCAATAAAATATAAAACATCTTTACAGCTGAAATGACTGGATGTTTGTGAAGCTGATGTCATGATAGCTTCATTCACTTTCTCCACTATGACTCATGCATGACTCAGCATTTAAGGGAAATAGTGGGATCATCCAGTAATGTTTATCATTCGGTAAAATTACAGATTGTTGAAAGGAAATGATCGATGATGTCCAAAACGTGCTGGAATGGATTTGAGCTAAATATTGGGATGATAATTTAAACATTAATACAATATGGTAATTCTAAACAGACTTTTATATTATTTCTGTTAGTTTTTTTTTCTCCAAATAGGAAAAGAAAACCTCGAACAAAACATCTAAAATCTGTGATAACAGCTCTGATTGTTTTTAAGTGTGGTTTTATGAGTTTATAATCAGTAGATGTGCTACAGGCGGTTAGCCACGGCAATCAGACTGACTCACACTGTATACATGGCGCCCTATGTAAGTCAGTCTGACTGGCAGCGGGCAGCAGCTAACGCCCACATTGCAAAAAAAATTGATCTCAGTAAGTATTTTTTTCTTAAAAGAAGTGCATTTTCTCTTGAATTGAGGAGTTAAATAATAAGACCCCAAAAAAATTTTTTTTAAACAGAAATGATAAAAAAAAACACATTTTTTTTCCATCCATATCCATATAATCTTAACTTTCTTGGTCATTTAAATCTTTAACCAAAATAGTTTATGGTATATTTAAAAGTAATTCCTTTCCTTCCAGTATTTGCTAATGAGACTGGGATTGAATAGTATTCCTCTGATTGGTTTATTTCCAGTTTAAATGCTACGGAACGGATCTAAATTACCAATAAATAACTCTGGAAATCTGGGATATTGGACATGGGAAAACATTCTTTTTTTTATTTTTATTTCACTTAAAGTCAACAATAATATATAAAATATACAGATAAACAAATAAATATGCCAGGGGGTATAATAATATAATCATAATAAACAAGTACAGTCAGAAGGAAAAACAAACAAACTCACAAACATATGTGTTTAGGAATGTTATATATAAGTATGTAACATATAAACATATATACATACATGTATTGTATCCGTAAATTGTCCAGAATATCTAGTTGGGAACAGATTGAAATGTTTTTTTGTGCCTTTTGGTGAGAAGAGGGTTTAATAGTACAAAAATATTGTTTAAGTTCAAATAAATTAACATTTAAGTCTGGCTTTTTTTTTATTTTTATTTTTTTATTAAAATTTATCCAAATGAAATTTAGTCAAGATAATTAACAGATTGATTGAAAGGTTTGGGGAATATTTCAGTTTGCAGCTGAATACCAAATAGAACATTTTCCCAGTGAAGTGAACATGGGAAAACATCTGCATTATTATTATTTTTTTTATTAAACTTTATTAGAAAATGCTTTATAATACAGAACGAAGTACAAATTCCAGTAAACAATCGCCAGGGGTCTGAGCAAAAAGTAATAAATAAATACATAAAAAGTAACTGAATAAAAGTAGTAAATAGCTGCATGTAAAGGGATTATGTAAATATTTTAAAGTTAGAGCACAAAGAGCAGCCTTTTTGTTATTGGAGGAGGACAATGTAGAAAAAAAAGATTACATAAAAAGAAATGGTTAAAAGGTTATTTTTTATATTTTGTGATTCCAAATAAAACAATTTGTCATAAATATTGTCCAGAATGAAGCGACAAAAACATCAGCATTATTATTTTATTTATTTTTTAAACATCAGCATTATCTAACCCAAATGTCAGTTAGAATGATGTCAGTACTATGATGATAATATACTGTAAGAAGATCTCATCCAATCAG